TACCACGCATATTCTATCGGTCTATAACTTCCGCCTGTTCTCCGTCTGATAACGCAGCCAAATGCATCATGAATGCTTTTCTATTGCGAGGACAGAAAGCGGGGGGAATGTCGGGGAAGGGAGTGATGGCGTGTAAATATTTCCGAAAGTGGCAGCTGGAGGTTGCAATTGGAGAGAGTCGCGCGAGTCGGACGCGTTCGCTGCCTGGCTCCCGCCCTCGCGACCCTAGACCTTGTATTTTCTTGTATACCACTCTACCCCTTCGGGGCTTGCATGACGACTCTCTCTACGCTTCCCGTCACTCTTTCGACGAAACGACCGCGACGACAGGCCTATGACGATACCGTACCCATGCCCTCATCTCTCGAAAACATGTGGTGGTCAACCAGCGACGGTTCCACCTTCTTACCTACAGCTACCTCTCCATCTTCTTCCGTAACGCCTTCATCTTCGTCTTCAGACTCCTCAGCGATACCCTCATCATCTAGACTCTCTGCGACTACGGCTTCTAGCAGTCGTACTCCGACTTCTCTCATACCAGCTAGCGCCACAACCTCTGGGACAGTAGTCCTCTCGTCTAGCCTCACGACATTCACTACCTCTGTCCCAGTTACTATCCACGATTCGTCTACGACCTTTACATCCTTCGAACAAACAACCGTTACCTCGTCACGCGTCTTCACCGCGTTTCCCGACACAGAGACAGTGCATGCGAATGCACTCATCGAACCCGTCTGCATAGGCGACGGCGTGGATAGCTATTCTCTGGGTCTGCTAACGGCTGTTGTTGTGCCGTCCGTAATTGGGTTATTGATATGGGTGAGTGGCGTGTTTTATGCGAGGGTGATGTGAAGACGCGACTAACAGCGGTCAAGTTATTCTTTGCTATCCTACGTCCCCGCTATCGACAAGTATATGGTCTTCGGGAATGGTTTGTGCAACAGAGGTCAGTGCACGCGCCGCTCCGAAACCTCCAGACATTTGTTTGACACGCCCCAGTCTCCGGCCTAAACCACTAGGCCGTTCCTTCTGGGCATTCCTCTTCCCTCATGTTCCCCTCGTCACTCCGCTGGCCTCGGACGTATCCGACGCAGGTCGGTCGCCAGCCAAGGATGCACTTCTATTCCCATCCGACGAACAGCTCAGCCAGCGCGTTCTGTGGATCTGTACCCTAATTGCTGCGGGGTGGACAGTCCTCGCGCTCGCGGGCTTCCTCCCTCTGTACATGGTCTCAACCCCATGCCTTGCAGACTCCGCGCCTCAGCCGCGCTATACCGGTGTGTACTCCGCCCTACAGGACCTCAGCTTGCTGCGCCTACTCCGTCTGCTCGACGCGGGTCAGATAACCACGGTCGACCTGCGCGTCCTGCTCTCGCGACGCGCGTTCGTCGACGGAAGGGATGCAGCACCCAACGCTCGCATCCGCATAATTGTCGCGACGGTACTCGCTATCGTGCTCGGCCTCCTGCCCGTGCTGTGGAAGATCCTGAAGGAGTTTAACCGGACGGTGGCTTATCGCGAGCGGTGGATGGAAGTGCGTTGCCAGGGAGTGGAAATGGGATGGTTGAGTGCGCGGCGCGCCCCGGGCTTTGTAGGGTGGGGCGAGAAACGGCTGAAGGACTACCTGGTCAAGATTGGCCTCAGCTCCTCTCTCGATATCAATGACCGCAGTGCGCGCTCCAGACGGCGCCGGCGCGCGCAGGAGCTGAACAACGAGGAGCGGGGAGACTTCGAGATTGATGTTCAGTCACTGTTCTCTGTTGGGTATGTCTGCCATGCGAGTGATAGTATCGGGCTGAGGCTGACCCTGGTAAAGTGATACAGGCCATCTTGCTCTCCTCATAGACGAGCGCGATGAGGTGCTGGAGAACTTGGAGATCGCAGAGACGAAGTACATCAATAGCTTCCGACTTACCACCCCGGACCCTTCCATCGCCGACTGGGAGCCTCCTGTACCACCGCCTAAAGAGGAACCTGAGGCTCCATCGAGGCCTCCAATCAGCCGCCCACTTCCACTGTCCGCTTCAGCAGTAAGTTGCCATGTCATAGAATGCCATAGTTTTGCCAGGCTCATCATAATAAACAGAGTCGCCGCCGCCGACGCAGGGGCAGAAACCCTGCCTATGGTTCATCATCTCTTCCACCGACTTCCTATGTGATGCCTTACCAATTCTACAAGATCACCGACCTCGGAGGCATTACTGGAGGAGAGTTCGCGGATCCTGAGAGAGATCTACCTTCCTCAGCCTCGCGCCGCTCTCGCCAATCCAGTTTCACGGACAGCGTCAGCAAGCGTGTCGTCGGGAGCCGATTCCAAGAGGTCAACCGCAACTCCATCGCATTGGGACGGCTTCCTATTGGCAGTCCGCTCATGGTTGATCACAATGGTGGACTCTCTCCCGCTGCGACCACCACTGCAAACGACTCGCCTGTTCCTGAAGTTGCCCCATACGGGTCTGATCAGCATGCCTCGTGGGACACGACCGCTTTCCGAGACGGTGGCATTCCACAGCAACATTGGATGCAGCAGCACCCGCAATATCCAGAAGTCATCCCGGAAGCAGAAGAACCCGACGAAGACTGGCACGACATTGCACAGGAAGACCCCGAGGCGTTCCAGAATGCCGAAGAATACCCGGCTGAGGCTCGTCGTCGCCCACGTCCACCACGCAACCGCACGAGTGCAGGGACACCGATCGAGGAACACCGCGAGACGTTCCCAATGCGCAACCGCGCGGGCCCGACTGCGCCCGAGGAGATCCCCCCTCCCCATCTTCGTTTGCAGCCCCGGCAGCCGTTCGTCCGCCCACTCTCGGGGCTGGACCACGACCAGCTTGGGCAAATATATGCGGATATCAACCACTGGCGGTGGAAGCTAAAGGTCATCAACACAGAGATCGCAGAAGTGCAGCGGGAGTGTTACAATGACATCGCCGACGGCGTGCGCATCAAGGGCTGGCTATTGGTCGGACGTGGCCTGAGGTATCTGCCCGGCGTTCAGCTCATCGAGGGCCGAGCGAAGGAGGACATCCGGTGGGACGAGCTTCAGAATGAAGGCGACTGGTCGCGAGGCATGATGTGGGGGCTCACGGTGATCATGATTGGCCTAATGCTCGGAGTTGGCGGTATGTGTTTACTTTCCTTCAGCCGCAGATTTCAGCAACTAATTTGTTTCGTGTAGTGACAGCCGTATCAGGATTGGCAGTCGCTACCGCTCCAGATGTGGCCCACTATTTGCCCTTCCTCATGCCTCTCGTCGTCAACAGCAAATGGGCTGGCGGCATTGGTTCCACCTTCGCTGCTGCTGTTGCCGCAATTCTTTTCATCTTCGTCGCGTTGTTCATCCTCAATCGTGAGTGTCCTTTCCCCTTCAGCCGTAGAGAAAATGGCACCGACCTCCAATCCCTTAGAGTTAACACCGCTGACGCGGACCGTCTCTATGTCCGCCGCTCGACTCGTCATGTTCAAGACGCTGTTCTACATCCTCCTTATCGTAGGAGGCGTTTGGATGTCCACGACCGGCGCCATTCTCTTCTCGCTGCAGGCTCTCAGCACAGACTCTGGCGGATCGCGATCTGTAGCCAATGGCGCCATCTACATGAGCGCGTTCGCGACAGTGCTCGTCTTCAACGTTGCCATCATCATCCCGGGCTTGCTCATGCTCCAGCCTATCAGGCTATGGAAGGTCTTACGGGCGGAAAAGGCTGCTGTGACACCACGCCAACGCTTCCGAGGTGAGTCGACCCACACTCACTTTTCACGTCCATTGCTGACAACCCCCTTAGCTGTATATCCTCGAACCTATGATCCGTTCTATGCGACCAGCTGCTCTATCCTTGCCATTGTTTTCGCATCTGCATTTGCTTTGATTTTTCCCTTGCTTGCTCCTGCTGTTCTCTTGCTGCTTTTCCTCACCCTCGTCGGTAAGTTCTAATGCATACATAAGGAGGATCATCGCTGATGTCTTCCTGTAGCACATAGATTCCTCATCGGCTACGTCTATGGCCGGACGCTATCGCAAACAGGAGGCTTGCTACATATTTGGCTCCTTCGCCGGCTCGGCACCGTACTCGCCTTCCAACCTTTGCTTCTCGGGCTCATCTTCCTAAGTCGGCGACTATGGATCGAAGGCGGAGTGTTGTGCGGCGCTGCTTTCTTGACCGTCCTGATTGTGGAGAGCTTCTGCAATTGGCGAACCAGTTTGCCTGGACGACGCTCGCTATCCCCGATTACGCTGGACTGTCTCGCGACATTCGAGCAGACCGCAACGCCAGGGAAGCGTCGCGATGTCGACGAGGAAAGCACAAGCCTCGTCAGCTCCGCGAGGAATACCCGTGCGCGGGGCTCGTTCGCGTCAGTGTTAGAGATGATGTCGTTGACGCTCGCGGTGACCCCATCTGCATCGGAAGTAAGGGGTCCTGTGCCATTGGGTAAGACATTTTGCTGTGTATGGGAATACCGTGCACAAGCTCATACACTACACAGAAACCGAGAACCTAGACGATCTCACAGCTACGGAACGCGCTGCACGCACGAACCCGGATGCACCACCGCATCTCCCTCCCCTTCCCTTCGCCGACCATGCGGAGGAGATGGCGGGAGTCCTGTACGCCCCGGAGCTTCTCGCCCCGCCTCCAATGATCTGGCTGCCGAACGACGTTGGGGGCATTGGGCGGTCAGAAGCGTACGACCTGCAGCGATACCACAATCTCCCAGTGACCTTGGACGTGCGAGCAAAGGAGGACGTTCCCCCTGTCCGGTCTTACCCCTCGGCGCACTCCGCGCATCATAGTTGATTAGCTTGGTGTTGGACTATTGCTACTTGTTGATGTCTGGATGAAACAAGCTCGCTGTTTTGTAGTGGTAGGATGAACATGGTAGATGGACATAGGACGTTTGCGGCACAACTGTATGGCTTTATCATATGCTCCTTGGATCAACTTGGACATGCGCATTACAGTTAAACATATAATATATTTGGGTGTCTCGCTTAAAGTAAGTCCCTGGTAGTATATCGGATAGTACACGCGCCTGTCAATACGTTGCGGTCGCGCGAGAGCGGGGTTCGACTCCCCGCCAGGGAGTATTTTTTTTTGGCATTTGCAGGCACGAAGCTCCTCACTTTCCTTTCCCTCCTGTACATCACGCACAGTACTTTGTACTTCGAGGACGATATGCCGTCGATATATGGCGCAATATGTCTGCCGCGAGGCTCTCATTCTCAACGGGAGATTCCGTATATTGTCTGGCGGCTTCTACGCTATATCCACAAACGACGAAAGAAATATGAGCAGCCGGGTAAGGGAACACAAAGCGGCCACTAGCTAGTAGATATCGAAGGAGGCCAGCCGTGGTGAAATCGTCAATGCATCAAGAATGTTCGACGCGCGGGAGGAAATAAAGTAATGCGATGCGTTGGGAAAAGAGTACAAATGCAGCGTGGAATCCAAGCAGGTAAGGACCGGACACGGACGGCTGGCAGCGTGCGGTCTGCCTGGGCCGTCTGTAACTCTAGGCACAATGGCTCTCTTTGGTAAGAGCGCGTCGAGTTGGGAGGTGATCAGCCGACGCGGCAAACAGCTATTGGGGTCGGGGAGTCGCTCAGCACTGCCCGAGGAAGCTGTTCTTGGGGAACGGCTGCCCGAAGTCGTCACGCCAGGTCGTGAGGTTCGGGTTGGTGTAAGCCTCGAGGTACCTGTAGACCCAGTTAGTGACTTCGACGAAGACGGAAAGGAACATTGTGCCTACTCTTCGATGTACGCGGCCGTCGGGAAGTCAGCAGGGTCGCAACCGATGTTGATTGCGTCGGGATCCTGGTAGACACGGATGTAGTCGACCTTCATCGTCACTGGGAACTGAAGGTGGTCGAGATCGACGAAACCGAAGTTGGTGGACATGCCCAAGTTGGCAATGAGGTACTATGAGGCGCTACTATCAGTAGCAATCACTGATCTCACAACAAATGCACTTACCATGGGCTCTTGAGGAACAGGACGAGGGCCGATCTCAACCGTCGTATCAGCTGCAAAGCCAGGCTGTTTCAAAGTCCACGCAAGCTTGCCATCGGCAATCCAGCTGATGTACTATAGGAGGACATGAGCGTATGAGCGTGCGCCAGGACAGTGATGACATGTTGACTGACAGCATCATCGAACCCAGGCTTGTACTGAATGCCGTAGACTGAGAAGACGTTGCCAGTACCCTCATACGCCTGTTGATCTATGGTGTATCAGTATGCCAGTTGACCAGATCACAGTGACAGATGTCTACATACTCGTCTCGGTGACGACGGAACTAGCCTGCTGGAACACACCACCCTTGTAGCCGTTAAGTTGACTGATGGTATCGTTGGGGATGATGAGGTTTTCCGTCGTGTTGAACCAGGTGTATGCAGCGTTAAACGGCTATGAAAAGCCGGTGAGAACGAGGAGAGGATAATGGCTTGCGCTGTACTTACACCCCACTGGGCAGACTGAGAGACTTGACCAGTAAGCGGGTCACCGGTGATCTATGCAAAGTTCAGTCACAGTTCGCTTGCCAACGACATGGGCCGGGACTAACCTGTGCCTCGAAGATATCGATCTCAGGCGCAGAACGGCCGACGTAAGTGCCATCAGCATGTATGGGACCAGGGTGAGACTCGCCCGGGCAAGTGCAACGCGAAAGCCTCTGGCCCGGAAGGAAGGACAATACGCCGTTCTGACTCTGGTCCCCGTTAACAGTAGCCGCAACGGGAAGACCGTTTAACGTCTGATTTGCGACCGTGCCCACATCGCAGGAGTCATAGGTGTACGGCCACTACACAAAGAGTGAGTTACATTGTTGCGCACATATGATCGTCAGGGAATGCGATGCGTACCATGCCTTCCAAACTAGCACCGTATCCAGCGCGACCGAGATTACCCATGGTCCAGATGGCAGGCCACAGACCGACAACGTTGTTGACACCAGGCAGGACAACTGAGGTCAGGACCATGCCGCCAGTGAAGCAGAACTTGTTCCATGTCGACATCATACCACCCTGGAAGTGCAAACCGTGCGTTTCCTTGCGGCTCAGGGTGATGTGGAGAGAACCGTTCTTGGTGGTGATAGCAGCAGGGTCATACCACTCCATGTTGTTTGTCTGCCAGTAGTGCAGGTCGACAGCCTCCCAGTACGGGTCATCTCCAGGGTAGAAAGAACGACCCTCGACGTTAAACTCGTCGCTCCAGATGAGTTGCCATTGCTTGCCAGTGTCGAAGTCGGCGTAATTGTACGCCTCCTGAGGAGTGTCCAGATCAATCAAGCCCCAGTTGCCAGGCATGGAGGGAACTTGGCCCGTCGCGTTGATCCCTCCGAGATTGAATCCTCCAAGTGTAGACAAGGGATGCCGGGTGAAGTAGCTGATTATGGGATACCCGGCACTACGGTGGGAGCTCAGCTTCTCTGCGGAAGCAATAGCAATCAAGAATACTCACAAGAGTGCGAGCATGCCAGCGCCCAGAATGAAGAGACAACCTAGGTTAACTAGACCTCTCGCAGTGAAGATATGACCGCCCTGGTCGTTCTTTCGGTCCCTCCGAGGGTCGGGGTTGTGGAGGTAGTCATCGCCTTCGGGGTGATCGATGGAAAGGTCGGCCCCCCAAGAAGAGGGATCCGGGGAGAGCGAGAACTAACGAGGGGAATGGCTTGTCTCTCGCGGTTGTTTGAATTAGTAAGGACAACTACACACCTTGTCTGAGAGGGATACGGGCATAGAGGATGTCTTTCCGGAGTATCTGGATTCATTCTGACGTGGATGAGCCTGAGAACCATTGCCGACGCGCAGCCAAGCCCGTCATCACTTACCAGAGACGCGTCGCTGGCCATGCTACGAAGCTGCGGGCCACGAGAGAGCGCGGCCTGCACGCCCGGAGCACCTGACCCAGAGGAAGGAGTGAGGAGGTTGGTTGTTGAGGGAGAGTTCCCTTGGTTGTAGCGCATTTCGGGGCGCAAGGACGCCATGGCGACTGGAGGAGAGAGTGGTGCAGTCTATGGGGAGTCTGGACGGTGGTTAGCAAGCAGGGGGTATATGGATGAGAGAGCGAGACGGGGGTTGGTGGTACAGAAGAAGGAGGGGTTAAGGAGTGGAAGGGTTTGCGTCTGCGACGTCTGGTAGTCAAGTTCAAGAGGCCTTCTCCGCCCAAGACACCCACAGCGTGGGAGCTACCTTCTATATAAGGCGCGCAGCACACGGGCGCCTCCGTACAAAATTAGCGGTGACCGTTCTTGCCGTCGCTTCCTCTTCGCGGTCCCATCTTCGAGGGCTGGTCGGAATCGTCGGATACTTGTTCTGACAGATCTTGCACAGCTCCGGCCTCCCTCACGCACCATGAAACGGCTGCAAATGTTATACTGACACAATAACAATATCATAAAAGACTAGTAGATGTAGGCACAAATCTGCAAGGTCGGATGAGCGTCGACGCAGGGAGGACCACGCCAGGTGGCGCGGGCCACACGACCGGGTGAAGGCACTCACGGTTCAAAACACCGCACGCGAGAGCAAGATGGAATGGTATCGTAAGAGTGCAAAGGTATGACGACCGGTCTCAGGCGTCACATCCGGTGACCAGCCTGTTCTTGGGGATCGTCTGCCCAAAGTCGTCCACCCATGTCGTCAACAAGGGGTTGGTATATGCTTCGATGTACCTGTGCGCATGTCAATCTAAAGTTATACGTACGGAGCAGGATCGCACTCACTCATTGATGTAGGCCTGGGTGGGGAAGTCGTCCGGGTCGCAACCAATGTTGATGTTGTCCGGATCCTGATACACGCGGATGTAGTCAACCCGCAGCGTCGATGGGAACATCAAGTGCTCAAAGTCGACGGTCCCGAAGTTCTTCGACATGCCCAGATTCATGATGAGGTACTACAAGGAGCGGAAGAGAGTTCAGCGAGCGCACACCGCGAGGTAGTCATTTATATGTACCATCGGCTCCTGCGGGACAGGCCTGTCGCTGATCTCAACGATGGTATCTGCCGCCATGCCGGGCTGCTTCAACACCCAGGCAAGCTGGCCATCCGCGATCCATCCTATGTACTGTGGCAGAATCCGATTAGCGCACACGCGGAAGCCGCGAGGAGGATACACGCACCGCATCACTGAAGCCGGGCTTGTATTGGAAGCCGTAGACGGAGTACTGGGCGCCGGTGAACTCGTACGCTTCTTGGTCTGTGTGCAAGCACCCGACATGAGGAAATTCACATTCGGTAAGGATTCTCCCCCAATTAACGTACTGGTCATGGTTACTACGGATGTAGCCTGTTGGTATACGCCTCCCATGTAACTGTTCAATTGACTCCTTGTGGAGTTTTCTATGGACAAGTTGTCCGACGTATTGAACCATTGATAGGCGTGGTTGAAGGGCTGTTCAGAATCACCGTGAGCAAGCGCGACGCAATGGCAGTCGTTCTACTTACGCCCCACTGAGCAGATTGGGACACCGCGCCAACCTTACCCGGCGTACCACTACCACCGACCTGTGCAAATGCCGTCAATCCCTTGCACTACTCCAGTACTGCAACTATGCTAGACGGACCTGCGCTTCGAACATATCGATCTCAGGAGCTGACCGACCGACGTAGTCACCGTTCTGGTGCACGGGGCCAGGGTGCGACTCGCCGGGACATGTGCAGCGGGAGAGTCGTTGGCCGGGAAGGAAAGACAAAACGCCATCGTGGCCCGTGTCACCGTTCACTGTAGCCGCAATGGGGAGGCCACCGATAGTCTGGTTGGGCGCGGTGCCGACATCGCACGCGTCGTATGTATAGGGCCACTAAGATCGCCCCTGGTTAGCAAACTCGCATACGGTAGCGCCGAGGGTCGTAATCTCACCATCCCATCAAGAGATGCGCCGTACCCAGCACGGCCCAAATTGCCCATCGCCCAGATAGCTGGCCACAGGCCCTGCACGTTGTTGAAGCCAGGAAGCATCACACGGGCCTCGACGAGGCCGCCCGTGAAGCAGAACTTGTTCCAAGTCGACATCATGCCCCCAGTGTAGCTGAGGTTATGGTTCTCCTTCTTTGAAAGCGTGATCTCGAGAGAACCGTTCCTAGTCG